TTTTCATTGAGTATCATGCACAGTTTTGAACTTTTTAAATTTTTTCTGTTAAACCAGGTAAAATAGAATGGAAATCTATTCAAAATAACATATTAACTTAGGCTTTTATTTTGAAAATAAGAAAAAAATCATATTATTTTGAAAAATATTATAAGGGTAGAGTAGATATGATAAAAAATGCTTAAGATCTATAGCAAAATATAAAGAAAATAAATTCCAATTGTTGACATTGGCCAGCAAGCAAGGATTGTGCATTAGAGGGGTATTATTGTTTTTAATTTTGAATCTTGGGAATTGATGCCCATTACTAAAAATAGAAAACAGATACAGGTAGCCAATCCAGTGTTTATCTATGTGTACAGTATGGAAGAAAATACAATGGCATTTCTTTAATTTGAACTACATACTAGTGTGCTTACTTATTATTTTCCCCTGGTGTCTACAGAGCATAAAATGTAAAATCATTGATGTACCACAAGCATACACAATCTCTCTACAAGCAAAGTGAATCTTGTCTGTAACATAGTTGAAAACAAAGTAACAAAGTTCTATACAAAACTAGGTGTTTATTTTTTATACCAACAGTGTAATTCCCAATAGGCTCTTTTTAAGAGCCTAGAATGACATGACGCCAAATTTCTATTCCAGAATTTCCCATTTTTAACACTTACTTTCTAGCACAAGACCCTTTGCAGGCACACTGCAATAGAAAAATGACATATTTATATATGACTAATAAAAAAAATGCTTTCACTCCAAAGAACGTACAGTCAATTCCTCTGGGATTTGGCCAAATAAAGCTATTTACTTTTTAGGTAATGAAAATCACCAAAGTGATTCAAGGGTGTTTGCTTTGGTTTCTTTGTTACTGGGTTTTACCCCGTCTGAGGTATCAAAATCCTACCCACTATGTAAGTCGGTATTAAGTAGCTCTTCAACCACAGCTCACAGACACCAACTCCTTTTGTAAACCCTTTTCTGCCCAAGATCGAGTTGCCAGAAGTTAGACTAGCCCAGGCATTCGGGAGGTAGAAGCTATAAGATCTTGGCACCCTGTGCCCATTTAAGAAGATCACATTCTTTTCTCCCATGCCAAACAATAAATGTGCAGTTGTCCCAACTGGAGACTGTCGTATATCCTCCAAAAAGCATGGCGGACCCTCCAACTCTGCATCTCATGCCTTCTGCTCTTCTCACTCACATAATTAGCACTCTTTTCCCTTTCCTTTTAGAAAACATGTGCCTGTTTCAAATTTGTATTATTTTTTTCAGATGTCTAATTTCAGTTATGTTCTTTCTCTCTTTGGTCTCTTCCCGTATTTCACATACCAGACAAATATTTAAAGGTCTGTAAAACCAGGAGAGGTTGCAAAGTATTTCCAAATGAAACTGCCATAGGTGATAGAAGAGGAAAAGAAAGCAAAGCTTAGAGAACAGAGACTTGAATACACTTGTTGGAAAGGTTGTGGAAATCTATTTAGGCTGCCGTAGTCAGGGATGGGGTTTCCATGAGGCATAAACATTCAAGCCACTGACAAAACCAACATGCTTCGTGATCACTCAAATAGTCTACTTGTCCTGAAACACTTCTCTTATTTATTAGCAGTAAGCTGCTGTCTCGCTCTTTTTAAAAATTTTTGTCTGTTTTAATATTCAGGAGGTGAAAGCATGGTAAGAAAACATTCAAAATTCTGAGAATATATGTAAGTGAAATATTTAATGTTTGTCATTCATAAAACTTACATCATTTACATAGGGTTCATTTGTATATAATAAAAATTTCATAAAGAAAAGTTTTCCGGAAAGTATTTTATATGTTAATTTGTTTAACATATGCTTTGGATATACAGCTAAATAGGAATAGTTTCTTTCTTCAAGTATTCCCTTTAACAATTAAAAAAAAACCCTCATTCCTAAATATTTGTTTTCCTTTTACTTGCTTCTTGGTTTGTAATATCATTTGTAACTTGAACTACACAAAGATTGGATCTTTACATAGTTCAGAATATATTTGTATACTTTAATAAATTTGCTCATTGCATAGTGAACATGTAAACTCATAGAGGACCTATAAATTTTACCCTAATCTAAAAAAGTAGCTGAAATTTTACACAATAATTTATTCTGAGGTTTATTTTTCATGTAATTTTGGTTTTCTTTTTTATTTTTTACATGTGTCAATTGAATACAACAAATGAAAATAAGTCATGAAGAGTTAAAAAACAAGAAAGTAATTTACCCTAGACTACCAAAATCTAACCTCATTATATCATTCGTATTTTTTTCCTAAGTATAACAAGTTGTAAATATACTGTGCTGCCTTTTTAAGACAGTATTCAAAACTAATTTCAACAATGTGTGTTTAACATAAAGCTATGTTTGCATCAAATCAAATGTTTATTAATGAACGCTATTTATCATACAAGAAACAGCAAAGATCAGTCATTACAGAAATGTACACTAGATGTGGCAGATGTAAAAGTGCATGCAGAGACTTCAGTTTAAAAAGGAAGTAATAAACAATAATACTAAAATTACTGAGTTTGGAACTCTATATTCTTAAATGAGTGATAGCTTCTTTTTGAATTTACAATTGGAAAATGCCATTAACAGATAGTACACGTTAGCAAGCAGGTGAAATGAATGTTTTTGGACTTTATTTTACAGCTATTGTGCTTGACAAATGTGTGGGTGGTATTTTTTAACACTAATTTTCTTCAAATATGGGGTGGGCATATTACTGCCAGGTTGCTCAAGTTTATACATGGTTTATCTAATTCTTTTTTAAACCACATAATTTTTAGCCTTCATTTGTATTAGACATCATGAACAGAAATTTTGTGAACATTCAATAAATGACATTTAAGTCTCACTCTCTCTCTCTTTTTTTTTGGCTCAATAAATTTTTAAATGTATGATTATCATAACCTAATAGTGTCTTTGTCTTCACTGCAGTGGTTTTCCGATCAAACTTTTCCCCTTCTTTTAATACTTTAGGGAATTTTCAAACGTCGGGATGTTTGGCTGTAATGCCCCAAGATTTGTTCTCCCTGAAAAAAATCATAGTGACAATTTATTAACTACAGAGCAACTTGGCTTTTAGGGGTCTGCAATTTCTACTTAGATTTACAAATATCCATTTGTGCCCAATAGACCTAATAGTAAGTCTTAATCATATGTAAGGTTTCTTTTTCATGCAATTACTTTCTCTAATTTATTTTTATTCTAAATATTGGACTGATACAAATCAGTGGGGCATTACTTTTATTATAAGCAAATATATTTCAAGAGAAGTCGAGATTGAATTACATTGCATATGCAGTGGTGTGTGTATTTAATATGAATCAGAAGTTTGGAAATCTAGAAGCTATTTGCATGTTTGAATATTTTTTAAAATTTGCACTGCCATTTTAATAGCTTTTACACATAGTTATTGAAAACACACTAGTACAGGTAAAACTTAAATAAAACTGATGGGAAATAAAACTCCTTAGATTCAAAATGGTTTATTCACACAAATTTAATAGGATATATCACAATTGTTTGGTCCATAAATATTTAGGGGAAATAGTTTCTATACAATGCATTTATCAATAAACAAAGAAACATGGACAATTTTGCTAGACCACTTACTGTACTATAAACACGAAGCTCAATATATAAGATTATTGAATTTATCAACTATATTTGAAAGAGTGCACAACTGCTTTCTATGACATGTTTGTCCTCTCTAACGGGATACACCATAAAAAGAGTTTCAGAAATAAGATGTAAAACAGTACAAAACTAGTGAGGTGTCAAAAGGACTTAAAACAGTTAATTTAACAAACAACACATATATCCTGATTTTTCACAAACTTACTTCCAAGTTATATCATAAGGCACATAGGAGAACTGAGTTATAATTAGTCTACTTAATAAAGTAGATCTATAGTACCATATATTGTTCTGTCAAAGAACAAAATTTATAAGTATCAATATTTTACCTGTAAAAGTGTGTTAATAAGATATCAGCCTTACCAAGGTTGTTTGGTCTGGTTAGTGGTAAATGCCCAAAATGTAATAGAAATATGAAAAGTCAAGATTTAAGCTCCATATAAGATGATAACCACACTTCCTAAATATATAATGGCAATCACACCTTTCTTCTGTTACAGTGTTAACTTATCTTCCATCATCTTTTTTTAAAAAATAAGCTACTTTCTGTGCTAATTTTCTAAAGACCCTGAGCAAAAGTTACAATAATGCACTTTAATGTGGGCAGTGAACTGTCGATATGTAACCACACATTTATACAGCCAGAAGGACACCTTTAAAATCTATTAAATAGCCACTTAGACCACCAAGGGAGATTTAAGGGGTCCAAAAAAGTGGAGAATATGTGCAAAGTTATTCTTAACAATCCACTAAAGCAAGACATAGATCTTGACTTCTTTTATTTACTTTTTTTTAGGAAATTCACAATCTAATTGGTATTTAACTACAACAGAAGCATATAGATGAACATTCACCACTGCCCAGACCATTAAGATTTTACCTTAAATTAAAAGAAAAAATGCTACTGTAAACTAGGAAATATATTCAGATCAGCATCCACAAGGCTTCTGAGTTTATCTACTTTTAAGACTAATAACTTCTAATCTCTAATGAAAGGTTTTTTGATACATAAACCAACCTGTGCCAAAACAAAATGAAACAGAACAAAATGGAGGAATTCTCATTGTTGGTATTAGTTTACTAAATTGTTTTTTAAAATGAAAACATTATTCATATAGAATGCCAGATACAATATTATGGTACAGCTGAAGTCAATTAATAGGGCTATTAATTAAATTATACTGATTTTTTTTGACTTCTTAAAAAATTATATTTTGCTTATTTCCATTTTCCCTAGGAAAAAGATAAGGTAGAAAGAATGGCTTCAGAGTTCTTTTCTTTTCTTTCTTTCTGTTTGTTGTTGTTGTTGTTTGGTTTTTTTGCTTTAGGAGGTCAAAAGTATAGAATTTCAAATTCTATGTGGAATTTTCATGGACACACAGGGAATTTTTAAAATGTTGAAAACCAAGTAGCTGAGTAAAAAGTTTTGGAAAGTTGCACATTCCTGGAATAGATGTACTGCCTAGTTAACTATTACTATTTAAAATTGCTATTGTAAATGCTTCTGTTTAATCATATCCCTCCTGTGAACAAACAGTTCACAAGAAACTGAAATGCTCTATATTTTTTCAGTTTAAATTTTTTTAAATGTGAAGTCTTCAAAATTCTATAATCACACAATTGAAATATTTAAAAACTAATTATCTGCTTCATTATTAACCTAATCATTTAAGTGGGAATATGATTTTTTGCCATCATTATACCACTCTTTTTTCCCCTGGAGAGGCTGGAAATAAGTAATATACAATTTTAAGAGGCACTTATTAGAATGATTCAAAAACTCCCCTTACCGACTGAAAGACCTAATTAGTTCTTTCTTAAAAAAAAAAAAAACTCCAAATACACTTTGTAGACAAAATATGTTCACTGAAAGGAAACAATAAGCTAAACTCATTTGCCACGTGGCTGCAGATGCTACACACCAAGCTGTTATTTTTATTCCCCAAATATCTTGTGGGTTGGAAGAAGGAAAAAAAGAAAGTCTTGCAAATAATAAAATAATAATTAGAATAATAATAAAAAAAGAAGAGGCAGAATTTAATTAAAAGAAAGAAAGAAAAGAAAAGAAAATCAATGTTAGAAAAGGTTCGTTAAGGTAGTTTGTGAGGGGCTTCCGGGCTCCTGGCTGTCCATGTGAGAGGTCACGGATGTCACTACAGTGATAGAGGGATTGGTCAGGTCTGTTAAAGTGGTCGCAGTGCCGGGTGGAGTGAGAGCGCCGCTGTCAGCTGAGGGCGGGGCGGGAAGCGACGTGCCATCGGCCTTATCAACACCCCCATTCTCCTGCCGCAAAAGGTTCCTTCTGAATTTGGCTCGTGCGTTTTGGAACCAAACCTGCAAACCAATCCCAATGGATTTCTTTACCGATTTTTTTTTATACTTTTCTCTTTCTCTCTCTCTCTTCCTTTTGTTTTGTTTTTTCTTCCTTATTCGTTTTTGTAAATCTATTTCTTTTGAATATAATTGTTTTTCTTGGGAGGAAAAGGTCTTTTTTCTCTCTCTTGGAAAACAGAGTAATTCAAGGCATACTACAGATTTATTCTTTCTCAACTGTTCATATTCCCCTCCCAGCATTAACAAGTGCCACTTGGGACAACTGATATGTAAGTGGAAATACAATGGAAGTGAAGGCACAGGGATAAACGGGGTGGGAGTGGGGGAGAAATGCGTCCTCATTCCTCTGACTGATGTCTTTGGAGAATGTGGAGGAGTGGGGCCACTACAAGTATCACGAAGGAAGCACTACTGTAAAGTGAACATTGCTGGAACAGGGTTTAAGCTGATCTTGAGTCTGACACCTAGAAAATATTGTTCAGACAGGAAAAACTCTTCCAGGACCACAGACTCAAACAGCTGGAAACTGTGCATCAGAATTTAGTCTACAGATTATCACTGAGGGGACTGCATGGGACTCACAGCCACCCATTATAATTTTGTAGTTACATCTTATACCATGATGAGTTGAGGGAAGCAACTGGATAGCACAACTCAGTTTCGTAATTATGATTTGTAAAAATGGCAAAAAAAAAAACTCGCTCCAATTGGTTGCTGAGACACTAGCCAAACTTTTTGTTGTTGTTGTCTTTTCAGGAGTTGGGGGGTCGGGGAAGGTGCACCTGAACTTGGAAGGTAGTGACATGTGGATGGGTTTGCTGAAGTGCGACTGCAGTGGATCCCTCAGAAATCGGTGCACTGAAGCCAGAGTGAATGTTAATCTCTAGAGCATGGCTCCTGCCAGCACCGTTTGCATGTGAACAGCAGTGAGGCCCCTGGCTTGGGGGACTCCTCGTCTGCAGGGAGAATGTGGCTGTACCTTAAAAGACCCTAGATCTCTCTTTGAGTACCCTCCAGGAAGCTCCCTGCAAAATCTGAGTGTACCCTGTTGGGAAATAACTAAGATAAACTAGTAAGAGTCAGAAGAGGAAATATCCACCATATCAAGATCATCAGGGAAGGGACCTATTTCCTGGCAAGGGAAGGGAGATGCACGCACAGCCAATGATGGAAGTGTCTTACCTGCAAAACTCTTTTGGTCAGGCCCGTTTTCTGAGCAAGCTGCTTGAGGTCCTTGGCGTCCGGATTGTGGTTGATGGCAAAATAGGATTTCATGGTCCGGAGCTGGTGGTGCTTGAAGGAGGTGCGCATGCGCTTGGTCTTCTGCGAGGGTGGGTAAGGCTGCTGGTCCCGGTCCAGGTGGTCTGCCTCATTCTCGTTACAACCTGTTGCAGTAAGAAGCGAGCAAACAACTGCTGAGTGGAAACTCCTGCAATGGTTGGGAACATTCAGGCTATGTGAAACTGTAGCAACAGATAATAAAGCAACAGAGAAAAAGGCTGCCAACCCAATTACGAACACTATCTAGACAAAAGGAAAGAACATAATTGCCAAAGCTAGCTAACCTAACTGAAGTTTACATAATAGACAAATGTTGCATAAATCCTGTATTTTGCTTAGTGCTTAGAAAAATGAATAAACTGTGAGAAATGGGTGTGGGAGACACCTCCAAGAGCAGAAGGAAGAAACCCTTTTCTAATACATTTCTGAACATCAGCGTCCCATTGTCCACATTCACAATGTTTGAGACTCTATATTTTGCCTGTGTTTCTGGACTGATATGTACTATCTGAAGGCACTGATTTTTATCATGAAGATATGGCAAACGAATATTTCAGCTCTCAAATTTGAAATTCTCTGAGAGCCCACCAACTAAGGAAGAATCTAAGTCACTTTGAACTTTAAGGATTGTTTTACATATTTCTAGAGCTTTCTTGATCAGGAAAAAGAAAATGAGAAAGGGGAGACATTAGAAAAAAATGGCAAATCTATGTAATCATAAGAATATTATTTTTTATAATTTTTAGCTATAACTAGTTATCATAGGGCTATATCAGAAAGAAAAATACTTTTCCCCTGGAGTTATTCTAATAAATATTTCTGAAAGAGAATGAACCTTGCCTAAAGTGCTCCCCATAGCTCACAGAAGGGAGAATGACAGTGCTTCTTTCTAAGCAGATCTTGGTTCCTTTCCTTGGATGTGTGGGAGCAGGGAGTGAGCTCTGCCCCTGAATGGTCCAGCAGAGAGAAGATAGCAATCTTCTCTCCTCCTCTTAAGCCCTCAATTGGCACTATGGGGGAAACAAGCCAACCTTTGAAATGAGCTAAAAGTCATCATCCCCAGGATCTAAGGCTGCACATTGAAATGCTCATTTCCTAAAACCTAGTGGCTCTACTGAGGACATGTGATTGCTGATTTTGCTAAACATTTACTGATTCAACCAACTTTGCAAACTCAAGGGGCATGACATTTTTTTCTTTAAACCCTTATTTCATATATTTATCTGATGTGCATTTATATCTGACCATCCTGTGTTTTATAAACTATTTAAAATCAACCTGATCATGTTACTCAGCAGAGAAAAAAACTTGTATCTTGAAACAATAAGGTATCCCTTAATATGACCTCTTCTATTCTCCTTTTAAAAAGTGGCCTGCCTGCTATGCTCTGGTTACACTTACTTTTAAAAAAATCCAGATGATATCTATATTCATATATCTATATCTATATTCAGCAGATCAGAACATATATGGAAACAAAAAAGTTTTATAATCATCAGCTAGAAGACCATCTGCATGTAAAACTCACTCAATAAGAAATTCTCCCTAATGAAGGAAAATTAAGCATGAATTAATGTCTCCTTGGCTTGTATTTCCATGAGATTCATCAGTGGGAAGACATACTTTAGCAAAAGAGCAGATGGCAGGTGAGTTCTTTGAGGAGAACGACTGAATTATATTCACGTTTGGCTCCCCGGAGTCAACCATAAGGCCAGGAACCCAACAAGCACTCAATGAAGACTTTAAGCCCTTTGTTCATCAATAAAATTACAAGGGAATATTAATGCAAAATCAAATCATCTTGGAATGGAATCCAAATCATATATATACATTCAAACACTAAACATAGCTTCTCAAACCCATCAGTATTGTAACACATACCCAGAGATAACAGAGAGAATATACTTTACATTTTATCCTATTTCAGCCCAGTGGGGATATGTCAAGTTCAAATAGTCTACAGAATTGCACTTTTGTATCCTGAAATGGATGAAACAGCATCCCATGACCCACTATAAAACTATACTTATATCCAGTAAACTGAGCCATATGTCACAACCAGATTATAAATGTACCATGACAAAACGGTCAAACAACGCTTGTTAGTCATTGGAGGCTTCTTCAGATAAGCTCTCATTCCTTTCATATGTGAGTAACTTTTCCTGAACAACACATCAAATTGAATATTACACTTGGGAGAGAAGCCTTAGCACGATGTTTAAATAATGCCCTTATCGTTCATCTCCCCCATGGTAATATTTCTTAGAAATGAATATGATCCCCAACTTAGCTATATAATCATTAGTCTTTCAAATGAATTTTATGAAAAATAATTGTAGCCAGATTTGATGATACTGATTTCCTGAATATGTACTCTGTGTTAATTATTGCTGATTTAAAACTCAGCAGAGCATTTCAGAGCACTAAATACAATTATAGGCCTTGTTTCCACATGAAGTACACAATTCAGTGTGTAAGATGAGTTGTCAGGTATGTATCAAACAAATATTACCACATACGATTTTCACGTGTCTATGTTAGCACTTGTATTGTGCAGCTTAATAGAGAAATCTATTTCTTTCACAGAGTAAGTCAGTTCATTATCTTAGGTTATCTGTGTTTAATGATAAATGCGTTACGTAAACTTGAAGTGACTGGGTTTCCCCACCAGCTATTTCTAAGCCTTAGGGGTATTCTCCCCTAAATAATGAGGTCAAATAGGTAAATTGTGTCAGACTTCCACCTGTAAGTACATATCTGGCATTATTAAAATCATGAGATGATCTAAACATTTTATTTTCAGTCATTTATAATATGGTCACTATCCAACATGAGTTTCTGTTCAGGTTACAAATCTTCTGAGAATTTACTGATTCCTGGGAGACCACTAGGGGTCAGTGCCAGGCTAATTTACAATCCAGAGACTTAGAAGTTTGGGTAGAAAGAAACTAAAGAAAGAAGATTTTGAGAAATGACAAAAATTGAGTCTCTTAATTAGTGCTAAATTATCCATGTAGGAGCCTTCTATCCTAAACTAAATCTCACCTCGGTAAGGGTTTATTTCCATTAAGTATTTCAGATAAACTTTCCGTGTCTCTTTCTGAAATATCTGCCTGATTAATTTGCACAAAAAGGTAGAAACTAAATGAGAGACATTGTCATTAAGAGGCATTTGACTTGTATAGAGCACTGACTGGGCCAAGTTTCACATCTTTGAGAGTCTTTGAATCGAAAACATGTTTTGTGCAAAGGTTTTTGAAAACATCCCTGTGTAAAGTAAATTATATTTTGGTTCATAGTAATGTTACCCTTTCTGAACTTCACATTTGAGCAGAAATGGTGGTGTAAAATCCAAGGAAGGCTAAGATGATGAGTTATATTTTTGGGTTCACTTATTTTCTACATTTTAACATGCACTTGATTTATTGAAGGGTTGCTTTACAGTGTCATGTAACAAACTGGGATTTTAGGTCATAAAGATTTTTTAATGGAGGTGTTGATTTCTGATTAGGCATTTTTTTTACCAATTCCTCTAGATTATTTTCACATAATCTTAAAGAAATATATACTATTTACTCCTATGCCTGGGAAAACTCTGGAATGAATGCAGTGGGTGTTGGAAGGCTGGTAGGACTAGTGATGTACAAACTCTTGGGCGTGGGGCTCAGCAACTTTTCCTTCTTTCAAGAACAAGACAACTTTCTCAACGACTTACAACAGGACTAATTTGCAAACTAAAAATCTAAATTGCTCAGGAGATTTTCATTCTTTTTAAGAAATATATTTGTACTCTACTTCTCTTTAGAGAAGAAAAGCTAAATTCTACTGTTTTTAAAGCTCCTCAGATCTTTCTAACAGAAAGTAAGATCCAAGGAAAAATCAAATCTAGTTAATTAGATTACATTTACAAGGGAAAGGCCAGGCTTGCCCGAAGTTTGGCTAGAAATCTCCAACCCTCTGTACTTTATCTGGCGGGTGGAGCGATGCCCTCTCTCCAAAGGACTTCCTGGTTATGGATTAGTCTCAGAGTCAGTCAGTCTCTCTCCCTTTCTCTCTCTCTCTCTCTCTCTCTCTCTCATTAGGGCGTTGAGGTCTTGGTGAGTGGCTCAAGATTCCAATGTCATTTTCTATTAATAAAGAACAATTAGTGCCCTGCCTGTCCCCCCGTTCCCCCCCCCCCCCCCCGGGGACCAAGCATCAAAGGAGATGAAGTAAGTGCACTGGGCAAAGTGGCCCCTAACCAAAGCTGCTGTTCCAGCGCAGCAGGGGCCAAGGCCGCCTGCACCAGCTGCTGAGGGTTGGCAAAACCTGGGGCTGCCTGCTGCCCTCACATCCGCCCATCCCAGTGGAGTCTGTTTAGAGCCAGCAGCCCTTTTCCCCTCATCCAGTGGCCCTGGCATGAGCCAGCTAGAGAGAAATGCAGCCTCACTGGGCTCCGCATCTCCACTCTACCCTGTGCCTTCCCAGAATGGATTCCCTGACTTCAGTGAGAAAGATAATCCTGGGAGAGAACCTAGAAGAGCTCTTGGGGAGTGCCTGCTCATCCTGCTGGCTTCCCTAGAAAACTCAGAACAGGACTTAGTTCTAGCATTCACACTGCCTGTGAGACCTTGAGCACTCACTTAACCTGCTGGATATTATTCCTTTATTACTGAACTATATAACACCACTCACCATACCTAGCACTGGGGACTAAAAGAGAAAAGCAGACACAATATGTGTTCTGAGTACCCACACTTTACCAGAGTACCTGGATGCTCATGGTAACAAAAGTGTTCTTGTCACAAGAAGGAGATTTTCAAAGTCCCTTTCAACAGAATGGTCTCCCCTGGCCTGAGTTTAAGCTTGCTGAATTCCCAGACAGGGGACATGAGCAACTAAGGGCCTTAGGCTTGGAAAAAATTAGCCAGAACTTTCTGGAACCCCCTTTAACAGTGGCTGAGGCTGAAGCGAAGGTCTGTCCTACTCAGTAAGATTTTGATCTTTGAGACTATCAACATCACATGGGGCAGGACACAGACTATCAACAAATTGATAAATGAATGTGAGACAGAGAGATAAATGATAGGTGTGTCCCCCCAAAGCAAGGAGGAAAGTGGTGCTCTCAACCTACTGCCTGTATTTTGTTTTTAATTGAGAGAAGGCAGAAGAACAAATGGTGAAGCCTGAGACACCACTAAGCCCCCTCAGTGGACCTTGAGTTCCTTTGGTTGGCTGGACTCTGGATCACACAGGGAACAAGGAGGCTGAATGGATTCCCTGACCCACCAGAACCACAGACCAGCTCATCTGTGGGGAGTGATTCCCACCCCTAGGGCTGCTAGGGATTCAATTTTTCAACACTCTTGCCAACTGTGCCGCTGATTAACTTTGAGCTGGTGACCACAGTCTCTGCCCCCTCTAGACAGACCTGGGTTTGGCTCCGAAGTGTTTTTTTCTGTTTTGTTTTTTTGAGGAAAATCTCCTCCAGGATTTATAATTTGGCTTCCACAAAGGAATTGCCCTGGGGCTGTTTTGCTCCAACTGGGGCCAGAAACTAATGGCTCATTAACTAATGGGCAACAAGGATTTGGCTCTGCCTGTTTGAGGGAAGTCACTACAGCCCTATGGTTATGTGTGTTTTTGCACAACCTCAGTGAAGTGTCACTCCTCCCTTTCCCTCTCCTGTTCTCTTCCTTCTTTCTCCCTCTTGCTCTTCCTTCAGCCTGAGAGCGGGTTGTGGTGAGAGCAGGTGAATGTTGGGCAAAGCACCCTCTTGCAGCGGGATCTTGGACGGAACCGGCTGCTGCGCGGGATCCTCTCTGGCAGCGGAAGGCAGGGCTGCCAGGGCAGGTAAGAGGCAGGGCCCACCTGAGTTGTAATTGACGATGTCCACTCCCAGCGCTGGGCTCTTCCGCTTCCGGGGCCGCCCCTTCTGCACGGTGCCGGTGCCGTTGAAGTAAGGCAAGGCCAAGCCGCCGCTCTTGGCCGCCAGCTCCGTGTAGCTCAGCTGCGGTGGATACTCCCCTTGCAAGAGGGTCTCGAAGTGGGCGCGGCAGTACACCAGGCTGTCCTTCATGCCGAAATGGTCGCCCGTGGTCAGAGTCTTGTTGCAGGTGGAGCAGGTGAAGCAGCTCAGGTGGTAGACAGAGTCTCGGGCGCGCATAACCATCTCGGAGGCGGAAATGCCAAGGTGGCAGCGGGCACATCTCTGCACAGAGAACCTTCTGGAAGCAAACAGAAGAGTCAGGGTGCTGACTGATGCAAGGAAGGTCTACCTCCCAGCCCAGCACCTGGGACGGGTCTGCAGTGACCAAAGACTGAGATCCTGGAGGACTCCAGGACAAGACACTTTGTTGGGCCCATCAATTTTATTTGCTAATTGAATTCTTCTGGTTCTGATGAGCCAGGACAAAAATCCTTACGTTAAAGTTAGAAGAATCGGGTACTAAGCTTCAGTTTCTTTCTCTACAAAGTGAAGATTTAAAAAAAAATCAGAAAGAAAGCAAAACAAACACTGGCCTAGCTAATTCAGAGCGCTATTGAAAGGACACGCAATTGCAATGCAAATGAACGGCTTCGTCAAAACATTCTATGGATGACGGAATATATTATTACTTCTGCATGTGTGAGTGTGCCTGAAAACAGACAGCCCCAGAATGTGACCATTTTGTAGAAGAAAAAGTTATTGTTCTAAACCACTTCTCTTGCTTCTCCTGAGCGCAAAGCTAGGTCACTTGCACATATTCTCTCTTCCCCAGTCCAGAAACTGGGAAGATTCAATAAACACGCTTGCTGCTGAATTTTTTTCTCTCGTCTGCTTCTAACTAGTGGTAAAGGGAACTGGGTGACTTGAGTTTTAGCGATGGCGTTCATTCCTTTCTCATAGTCCTTTACAAGGTCAACTGCCATCCACCCGGTTGCTGCTGCCCTGGCCACTAGTTCAATGTCAAGGCAAGGAAGTTGCCCAGTTTGTGGGAAGCGAGGAGGAGAAAAAAAAAAGAAAAGAAAAAAATCTCTCAAGTCTTGTACGAAGACCCGTCCATTTACTCATCCCCAAATTTCTCCAGGTTTTGCCAATCCAGCTGCGAAGAACTGGAGCGCATGGTATTACTCTCTGGACCTTGGTGTCCCTGCCACCCTTCCTTTAAGGCATATTCACTGAACTTCCCTGGACTCAGAAATGATAACCGAAAGAAGTGGGAAACGCAGAAGGGGCTCCCGACTTGGGCAGGTGGCCCCATCAGGTGCACTAGGGCGCGTGAGCATTGGGCAGTACCTGTAGTAATCCTCCTTGCAGTAAATGCTACCGTCCTTGGCGAAGCAGGTGAGCTCGGACTCCAGGGCCAGTTTACATTCACAGCACTTCAGGCACCTAAGGTGCCACTGTTTGTCCACGGCCAGCAGGTAGTACCTGTCCGAGATCTTGCCTCCACAGCCAGCGCATAGAGCGGGCTTTTCGGGGCTGAGCGGGGGCATTCCCTGCAAAGAAAGCACACCGCAAGGTTGAGGAGGACGCGGGGCGTCGCCGCACGACGCAGGATCTACACCCCTACTTCCCCAGGCAGCGCCGGTCGGAGCGCGAGAGTAGCGCGGCGGGGATCTGGGGTCACCACGCCAAGGCAAACCCGGGGCAAACGTGCAATTTCTCCCTTGGCCGCTGGCTCCCTTTTTTTTCCTCGACTGCGTGAATTCCCGTTCGCGTCCTGCGGCTGCTGTGGACCTAAAGACATCGCAACTATCCTGAGCCTCGCTTACAAAGGACCAAGAGCCTAACTGACTAGAATGTGATGGGTGTTCCTGAATTAGAATAGTTATTAGTTAAACATTGTGATTTTCAAAACATAACACAAAACAAAACAGAAATTGTCATTGAAAAGTAGGAAGCAAATTTGGACTACTACAGGTTGTTTTTATACAAACAATATTACAAGTCTGTTTCTGTAAATTTGTACAGGCATCGTTGAAATCAAAAGCAAGAGAGAGAGTATTACACCCGTGCTTATTAATTTGGTCGGCAGTGTTTTTGATCGGGATTTATTTGGCAGATCCTGCTGTTCCCTAATTTTCCAGGCGACTGGTCCTGTTCTAGGTAAAGTGTAAAGTGACTGTTCTGAAAGAAGAACCATCCTCCAGTTCCCGCTGCATCGTCCCTTTTCCTAGGCACCAACACAGATACGCAGATCTTCATCCGGAAAATCTGTTTGATGTCCACATTAACACTTCTTCCTGGGTCCCAACTAAAGGAAGGATGATAAATTTCACTTGAGGAGCCCAGACTCGGGTTTGGCTGCTGTTTTGTTTTTTTTTGTTTCTGTTTTTTTTTTTAAAGGTAACCACAAAAGAGAGAAAGAAGTTAACCGCTGGACCTTCTCCTTAAGACCAGCAGGCACGGCTTGAACTTTCAGACGAAATTTTGGCGGGTCTGGATAAGTTAAGCTTCCCCCTTCAATCTGACTAGGGACCTTCGCTTAATTACTGTTGCAAAAGCAGACACATCCACCCACTTGGCTATAAGGCGCGACCCAAAATGCCGCTGACCCGGCTAGAACCGCCTCCCGAGTTGTTCTGAGCTCCAATTCCTGGTGTGACACTGGGGGATCTACACAGCGCTGTTTGGAATCATTTCCGGAGACTTCTGGAGTTTTCTCCAGCTCTTAAGTGGGAAAGGGAAGTACTTAGATTAGAAAAGATTTTAAGAGGTCACGGCTTTTCTTATTATGAATCACAACAGCAATGGTTGTTGATTACTTCGTTTAACGGTTAAAACGTTCTTGCTTTTGAACTAGGAGCCGCTCCTTCCTGCGCACTTTTTATTTGATTTCCCTCTACAACAGACCCCCGCTCAAGCATGGGAACTAAGGGCGGCTCTGCATCGACAGAAGAACTAAGCCAGGATGCCAGAGACTGGAAATCCCTGGGTTTTGAGGTACTGAGCTCCGAGAGTCCGGAGAATTGAAAATGGACCCGTCGCGCGTCGGAGTCTACTCCAGAGGTGCGTTTTTTGGGCCCAGAGACTAAGGCCACCGGGCTCCTGCTGGACTCGGTCGCCTCGGCGGCCAGCGGTCCTCGCATTTCCCGCGCCCAGCCCAACTTGCCCTCGGGACTGTGGATCCTCGCCCGGGAGGCGCCCTGGAATCAAGGGACACTGGAGTTTGGGGGCTTGCAGAAGAAGACGGCCCTCTTTCTGATCCCACTCCGGCTCGCCCCGCTTGCTCGGGAACAGCTGTTCCAAAGGGGACCGAGTTTGGGGTTTCCATAGCGTAGTCACCACAAGTCCGAAAGGCAGCCTTTCTTAGCCCTGCAGACCCAAGTGGACTGGCGAAAACCCAGTGGACGTCCTCACGCAGACGCCCATGACGCGCCACCCCCCAATCTCTGCGGGCCAGGGAATGGAAGCTCGGGTTCACCCGGAGCGCTGGGGCGCCGAGCTACAGCCACAGCGGGGCCCTTCCTTACCGCGTCCCGGCCGTTGAGCTGAGCGCCTTTGGCCAGACGGGCCTCGCTCTTGGATCTGCGCTCCATCTCCTCCATGATGCCTTGGATGTGGCCTCCGGAGATCCCGTGGAAGAGCATGGCTGAGGGGCGGAAAGGACACGAGTTGTCTTCTGCTCGGCACCCCACTATTTCCATAAACACACTCCCGGGGCTCTCAGCTCATCCGAGTGAAGGAGCAAAAGGACCGCAGAAGGCTGCGCAGTGGAGGAGCGCAAAGACGCGCGGGGACAGAGATTAAGAGCCCAAGAGCGAAGAAGAAAGAGACAAGAAAGGGTGGAAATAGAACTACTTGGGGGTGGAGGGGAAAGATCCAAAGAGGAGGGGGAAAAAAAAAAAAAAAAAAAAAAAAACCTCCAGCGGCTTCCTGAAGGAGAGGTGCAGAAAACAAACACACACGGGCGGAGGGGAAAGGAGGCGAAGAAGACGAATCTTACTGCTCTGAGAGATCGAGTTACTAACGGGAAACAACTGCAGCGAGGGGAGGAAAACAAAATCTGGTGAAGAAAGAAAATAGTTTTGAACACAAAGAAAGAAAACGAAGTGCTATTTTCAGCGGTCCCTGGCTGCTTGCAAGTTCCCAGTGCCTGTAGGTTGGGTTGGGGACTGCTCCTGCCGGAGCTGTGTCCAATTTGTTAAGAGACTAAAGCCAGCCCATTTTTGATAATTTAGTAGGAGGAGTTCTCTCCCTGGAGCTGCCACGGATTTTTATTCAGACAACAAAGACCTGTCATACTCCTCTCAACCCCCTGGTGATGGGCAAGCAGGGACAAACACTACAAAGGGGTGGGGGGATGGAGGGGGAGGCAGCGGGAGGGGGCATTTACCTACCTCACCACAACACACGCGTGCGCTCCTGCACACACACACACACACACACACACACACCCCTCCTTCCAATAGTTCTCAGCAGTCATGTTTTAAAGGGGAAAAGGAGCCCTTGTTTTAAAGAGGCAAAGGAGCACTTACTGTCCACGCCCTGGTGCCAAGAGCAGAAAGCCGGCCTATTTGATTCCAGTTCAAGATCAGACCCCGGCTTGGGGTCCACAGAATATCAGTTCCAAACTTTGGGTTCCCTCCTTGTCCACTTTTTCATGTACAGCCTACAAAACACTCACCCACAGTACATAAAGATTGGGCAGAAATTCAAGCTCTGCGCTGAAATGGGGATTTTAACGCTGTTTCTTTCCTCCCCATCCCCGGTCTTCCTTACCTCACTTTTGAAAAGCATCCTTCTAACATTTCATCCTTTGCCTCACCTCCCTGAGGGCCAGAGACTCTGGCGGGCGCAGGAGCGTCCTCCAAAGTGAAAGGGGGGTTGGAGAAACTACTTTTCTAGGGTCGCGTTAAAAAAATTTTTTAAAGTTTGTCTTGGAAATTCTTGAATGTAGACGGCAAGGCGTGGTCTTGTAGACGAGGATGTACAGCTGACCCTTGACCGCAGGGCGCTTTACTCTCTTCATTCAAATTTGAAAGCACACTGATTGAGGGTCTTATGACCCGTTTGAAATTTGTCAACGTGGGCAGCGACTCCGCTAAACTTGGCGCCCGCCCCTGTAGGACCAGGCGTCGGCCTCATTGCGCGCAGTGCCCGTTACCGTCGCAAGAACAGGGACTTGTAAACCTGGGTGCCCCGCACACTTCGGTGGGTGTGAAAAGGGACCCTCGCTGTGGAGGAGCCAAAGGTGAGAACTGACGTGCAGAATGGCAGACCTGCTCCTCACAAGAGGCGAGATTGTTCTGTTGCCCTCTGTCCCTATTAGCGGCAACCCCTCCCCGTGTCCATTAAAAAATGTCCACACTACTCCAATATTGTGGATTCATTCAAACGGCCAGAAGCCCCCTAGGAACCCGAAGTGGGGCGCGGCGATAGGACCCGCCCCGGCTTTAACCAGGGTGGGAAAGAATCCGGGCCGCTCCCGCTCCTGTCGCCCACGTCGCCGGCCTGGTCCCATCGCTGATTTGCCCATCGGGGAAATGGGTCCTGACACATCCTAGAGACTTTAGAGGAGCCTCTGGGCAGCAGACCCGCTTCCCTCCGCCCGGGGGAGCCCGACAGGCAACTGTAGCCAAATCTAGAAAGATGAAGGGAGAGATGGAGCTAGGCAGAGAGGAGCTAGGCAGAGAGGAGCTAGGCAAAGGAAAGCGAAAAAGAAAGAAAGAATAAAAGAGGCATGTGAATGAAAGGGAGGAAGGAAGGAAGTAAATGAAAGGAGGGAGAAAGGAAGCCAGGCAGGCATGCAGGGAATGGGGCTGCAGCCTGACTTCCTGTCCCACAGCATGGCCCTCTGAGGCCACTGGAGTTGCCTCTTCCATGAAACTCAAGTCGCCACTGCTTCCCCTCCTTTTTTTTTTCTCAGGGTCAAAATGATGTTATTTGCAGACTGGACGCTTATTAAGGTCCTCTGGGTGCCACAATACAGCTCATAAAACACAATTTCACACAAAAATGAAGCCAATCAAGTGAACTAAGCTGGATAACCCTCCTCCCCTCACTTTGGCAGCCCTACCTGACAGCAGGGCGGCTATTTACTGTAAGTAATGTAATTAGCCCCTTTGGATGGAAATCAATGAGCTTTTCAAACCCACGTGCACACATGAAGGGACCCAAGGAGGGGCTGGGGGCAGGGGCCCTTTCAGAGACAGCAGGTCCTCTCACAAAGGGGCAGATTGCCTTCACACAAGTCAGAACTTAAACAGACTCAGAGCTGCAGTAGGAGGAGGAGGAGGAGGAGGAGGAGGAGGAGGAGGAGGAGGAGGAGGAAGAGCCGTTGTCCTCTACCAGATAATACAGTCAATTAACCCAAAGAATCTCCAAGCACAGGTGTAGTCTGTCCTCTGAACATCACTCTCAAATAACGGTGTTTGTAATTAGGATTCTGGTACTGTATCATATGAACAGTTAAAAAAAAAATAAACCCAAACACCACTCTTTCCTTGTAAGAAATGAAACTTTGAGATTTCATAAAGGAAAGCTTAAGAAACAACTCCTGGAAAAAACAGAACTGTATGAAGAGTCTCCAGGGAAGCCAAGCACAGAAGTCCTGTCAGCCCCCCAATCATTCATTCATTCATTTATTCCACACATATTTTTAAATTATCTATCAGGTATAGGCAGGGAAGAGCACCTCCTGCAATCAGCTTTCTGATCAAAACCCATGACTGCTCTTTCTTATTAAGCTCAGGTTATAAATTCCTGTGCCCAGAGGGATTTGCTACTTTCTATAAAGAAAGGATTCTTCCTGCTAAGCAAATGCAGGAAGTCTGCAGAAGGCTGGGGGTGGGCAGGGGTCTGCTGGAGTTTGGGAGGTCCTAGTTAGTTCTGCAGAAATGGCTCCCCCTAGGCCCAGCTGTGCCTCTACTCACAGACCCTCAAGAAGAAGCCCTTGAAGAATTGGGGGGGGGCTTGGAGGTAGGGGAAGGGGTTGTTAGCTTATGAATTAGGTGTGTGACCTGAGTGTCCTAACCTTTTTGTCTGGGAGTCTGGGAGCTTCAGACTTTCTCCCTCCTCTTCACTCTCCAAGGATGCTAACACTTTAAATAAGTAAAGCATCCTCACAGCTTTCTTTGCCTCCTTTCACCTCTTCAGCAAGAGACTGAAGCCAGTGTACAGGAAGTGCCCCCCTCCTTTCCCAGCTCTGGCTGGACAACAAGTAAGTATCTATAAAAGTTAAGAGTGCTTGCTTTTTCAATGGGGCAGGTGGGGGGAGAGCTCTGTTTGGTCCACATCCCCAATAGAATCCCCAGTGTCCTCCCTCAATTCAAAGCATTATTAGGAGCAGGGGGGCGGGGGGGGGTAGATCACTGGCCTGGTTCTGCCCTCCCTCACAATTGGGCACACTCATTCCAATAGGCTCTCTTCCCTTTCTGGCTCCACAGAGACCTTCAGGAAAGTGGTACACTGGGGGAGAGGATTTTAGATTTAGAGTTCCAGATTATAGAATTTCCAGGACAGTCAAGGAGACAGTGGACCCTTGTCCCAGGCGCTAGCAGTCCCACCTGGGAAAAGGGGCCTGGCTCAGTGGAACTCCCCAAGGGAAGAGGTAAAAGGGACGCATGGCTTTGCTCAGGAAGCAAAACAACCACCAAATATGCATCTTTTGAGAGCATAGGTGACTTAAGTTCTCTTTAGACCTGAGTTTTGGAGGCCATGATCCCGTGCCATAAAAAAGAAGAATTACCATTCTCTCAGAACCTATCAAGAGTCCTTTGGGTTGGAAAAGCACTGGAGATCGTGTCCAGCTTTTTGATTGTAGGGAGCACCCTAAGGGCGGAAGAAGTTAGTATTGTTTTGGGGCAAGGAAGCTCTCATTGGGCGCGGAGCCACCAGCCTTGGAAGTCCAGGCTGCTCTGAGTTGAAGATGATCGATGGCCATGTGGTGCGGGGCCATTCTCTTGACAGTGGAGAGGCAGTTATCTCTAGGTGCAAACCTTGCCCAAACGGAGTTGGCAGCCAGTCTGGTGCTACCTTGCTGGGTTCCTCTTATTCAGTCCTGCTAGGGAAACTTCCCTTCAGACAGAAGCAAGAGAGTGGAGCAGAGCCAGCCCTGGGGAAGCTCGACTGCCTGGAGACTGGGACACGCGACCACATCCCAGTGGCGCGCCTTTGCCACAGCTCGCTGGGCTTGACTCCCAGGTCAGGTCCCTGAGGGTCTGCACACTCTTGCCCACGCACACCCTGCGCGACCGAAAAGCCTGCCGCTAGCTACTTGACCCTTCAAACCTATGTCCTTCTCCGCCACTGGACGTCCGCTGTAATGGCGGCATTGGATTGGGATTAGGATTGAACGATAACAATATAGAAAATTGGAAGCCAGTTTCTAGTGAACCTAAAGGGGTGGCAAAGGGCGTCTTCCCTGTCTGCCTCTCACGGCATCGAGCAAGGCGACGCCCACAAGCAGCTTCACGGAGGGTTGGGAGAGAGTCTCTCCTGCGTGTGCCTACTCGAGGCTCAATGACACCATGACCTCTGGCCAGAGCCCGGACCCCGGATCCTGAGGAAAGTCAAAGACATTCAAGGAGGTGGGGGGGAAAGCAAAAGGAAGAAAAGGCAGGTTTTAGGAATCCTGAACCAGAAATGTATGTTTTCGAGCCTCCGAAGCGCAGTTTAATTTTTAGGACAAATGCACTCTCCATTTCGTTTCATTCAACGAAAGCACGCTCGCGCGGGTGCACACACAGTCACAT